GGGGGGGGGGATGGGGAGAGGGGGAGGGAGAAGACTATTTGAGAAACAAAACTGAGAAGCTCAGTGGTTGGAGCATTGTTATGGTGAACCAGAGGCCCAGTCGTAGACAGTGTTGCTCATTGAGCTTCGCACTTTCTTTTCAATCGTAGTCTGAAACTGAAGTTCTCCATATTTTCTCCAACTATACTTTTAACTTTTCTGTCTACCCCTTCATTTAAATGGGCAGCCAAAATGCAGGAACCAAAACGGCGCACGAACGTGCATGGCTAAAAGTTGTACGAACTAGACCGGAAAGATAGAAGTAGTTTTATCCGCTTCACAGTTATGCCTCGTTTCACAATCAAATTTTCAAATCAATGCTGTTTTAGGCTTTTCCTTTGAAGTGGATGCATGCTTCGTTTTCAATATCTCTTCTAAGTTCTCTTTCACTCATCAGCTTCCCTTTTAAAAAATAAATCCGTTTTTTGTCAGTTTCTGTAGTGGTGGTTAGAAAGTGATACTTCTTTGAAAACGATGACCGTCGTCTCAGACATAGACCAGAGGTATAAAGTTTGGAAAATAAATCGGTGAACATATAAACTTCAGCCCACTTTTGTTATCTTTTCGACGTGGCAAACATTCGTTTGTGGAATGTTTCGACAGCGGCTGTAGATAAATCTGTTTTATTCATACTGCATATACGGTCTCAACTGGTCAAATCGATCAAGGCCTACCGAATAAAAGTAGATGAACTAATTATACGATTTAACATGACTTAGTATAAATTTAATGATAATATATACATAAGCACATCCGAAAGTCAGAATTCACTGTAATGAACAATGCATTTTTTCTTTGTACAATCATTAGCTTAAGTTACAAACTATGATTCCTCTTGCACTTCTCAAAGACATAGTAAGCACAAAGTACACCAGCGATACGCCGCAGATTCACAAAGACCACTTTACGATCGATGTGACAGAATAAATCGCAATCTAGTTCATTGGTCCCACATAAAGAACCGTGCTTAAGGAGTAGTGACTGGTTGCTGGTGGACGGTCATGTGAAAACGTATCCTGTTACCTTAATCTTACTGGTTTGACTTCAATCTTACAATCATGAATTTTCTCCAAAAAAACAGCACTCAATTTTGATGATATATATGTATTTGAGCGACACGTGATGCTTGATATCAACCCTCTGATGGTTTCCGGTCTCACTCCTCTTTCAAGATAGGTTTCAGTTCCCCTGGCGAGTGGCAGTGATCTCCCTGGTTCACTTTTGCTCCTGATGTTTTCCTCTAGGTGTTCAATTGGATTGAGATGAGGTAGTCGAGGTGGCTAGGGAATTGTCATCGTATCCATGGAACAACGGGTACGGCATGTGGACACATTGTTTCCTTCGAAAACCAACTTAGTAGGTGCGATCATCAGTGGTGCTCGCTTCTGTCAGTATGTAGTGGAGCATTCCATGCTGTGCTTCTGAGACAAAGTCATTCGCAAATAGGAATAGCATGGGTTCGCTCTGCGCCTATTTTATTTGTGTATGAAGAGAAAGGCAACCTTACCGGATGATACAGGCAGAGATTCTACTATTGTTCTAAGAAGATAGTAAGCTACAGAGTTACAAAACATGAGATATTACAATACATACATGACATCATCCAAACCAACCGATTATTATGAACTACACTAACACCCACAGACAATCTAGGCAAAGATACAGGTTCAACAAACTGACTCTGAAAACATTGTTTCAACCAATGTTTCTGGCTTCTCCATTCAAATTAATAAATGCACCACCACACCCACGCACCAGAAAAAAAAATCACTTGCCCATTCAAAGCAACACATACAAACTGCATCATGATCCCTAGATGCTATTTCCAAGGTGACCGAGACTATTCGCTCGCAACAAGCCTGTTACATTGTTCGACCTGTGAAGTTCCTCGTTCGATCCTCAGTTCAACCTATAGACTTGCACTGCCGATGAGATCCTAAAGATTAAACTGGCTCCTTCCACCTGCGTATCCAATTATCTTAAGCGACAGCACAGTGGGCGGATGGCTTTTTCCACGTCGTCACTACCATTCAAAAGAGTCATTCAGACCGGGGACCAATCTAGTACCCATCTCTTTGCTGTACGCGTCGGCAAACATAAGTTGCCTACTTTGTGTACGGCATTTTGTTTTATTTCAACGTGCTGGCAGTGGGCGCACAAGATTGATTAGAAAAGGTCAACTAAGCTATCCTTTGAGGTAGTTTGCTTAAAACCCCTGCATTTGGATAGACTACTAATATAACACTGCAGTTGAGAAAAAATACCGTGATATGTGTGTTTAGCATCGGTTTAGCATCCGAGGTGGGTCTTGAGGATTAACACTAATACTTGTAGATCTCAGACATGCTTACGTAATATGTATCGAATAATGTTTTTCTCTCTGATATTCTGAGGTTTTGTGGTTTTTAAAACTAGCATATTGGTACATCAATCATGAAAAGGTATGCATAAAATTGATTTTGAGAGAAACGTTGACAACCATCTGCTGTTACTGATTGAGCCTTTTTCTAGTTTATACCATTTCTTGAAAAGCTTGATCCTCATTCGTTTCACTATCGCTTTTTCTCACTGATATCTTCAGTGCTACTGACTGATTCGTGAGCACCTATTGTCACGGTTTTGTCGGCCTTCGGATCACGCATGACAATTGGCATCAGTAGCGACGAAGTTCTCTCTAGTGCGTCTCTCTCACACACACACCTTGAGTGTGTGCTTGTCTGTTTGTCTTTCGGATACAGCTGCATATTTGTGCTCCTGGTTAACCTTGTCTGCAGTCTGTTGTGCCAACCTAAGCATGGCCTTTGACAACTGACAGCTGGCAGGGATCCGTAATATCGTGCGCCGGTGTACGTGTACATGTGTGTGTTTGTGCGCGCGATCTATTGTCTATGTCTGTGTGCACGAGTACACAATTTCGAATGACTTGCTCTGAGTTAGTGAAAACCACAGTATCACTAATGGGATTCACGTACAAGATTGATACATATTTGTGTTGCCCCATATAACAACCATTTCTCGATTCGTGCAATATAGTTTGTGAATTGCCCGGTCGGTGTCTTCTCAACATTCACACACACACACACTCACCACCTCTCCCAACTAGACCTCGATGTCACTCAAGCGGGGCCGATCTGCTGCCGTCCACGGTTCGTGGAGCAGTGCGAACACAAATGAATCTAGTCAACTACAAAGACGTACACAACAATTGCTCTATTTCGAATGCGATGTGTACACGATCAGTCGTACGCTCTTACGAGCGTTTGAAGATTTCTCCGAGGAACGAGCAAATATGTTGTTTGAGAAATATTCACGAAAGAAGGTGAATCGAAGTGTGGCTCATTTTCTCATCGATCGTATCAGTTTTCAACGCAAAGGTGCATTCGGTTCGAAACCGTTTCGTAAAGAAGTCACTTATCGGGAAATTAAATATTTTTTCGCCTGGTCTGTCAGACCGGAATACTTCATGTTTTGTGTGGCCGATGAGAAAATGAGACGGAAATCCTACGAGATCTATCGGTGTGATAATACACAGGATGTGCATTCAATTTGCGCTTTTGTGTACAGGGCAACTAATGATTCCCAGTTCATTTTGCGCAATGAACTTCCGGTGGATGTGATTTCTCAGTCCATAAATGAAATGGACGGAAGTTTGCTTAGCATAGATGATGGGGTTGCCGGAACCATTTCATCTCAGAACGAATCATTGGAACAGATGAATTGGAATAATCGTTCCCCTGATCAAGTGGATCGGACGAACGGAAGTGAACGTGGCAATTACAATCGGGATAAACCACCACGTCCTGAACCACGCTATTCCAAGTATGCTGAAGAAGGAATCAGTATTACGCGAGAACGACCAACGAGTGTACATGCACCGAATCTGTCTCGTACAGCAGCACCCGGGGCAAACCCATATACATCATCAGAATCGCGTGCAGTTGATGTATACAGTTTTTACGATCGATCTCCAAGACTCCAACCACGACGTGCTCCCAGTTGGGGTTCTCTGAATAATGAAACGATGGATAAAACCATTACAATTACTCGTCCAGGCAATTCGTCATCCCAGAGAGACTTCAGTGCCCAGTCTGGCGTGTCACTTGTCACTGAAGCGACCAGTCCTTTTTTGTCTACACCCATTTCTGTGCGACGAGCAACCTCGCCTAAGAAAGTGGACACTTTCACTTCGCCTTTTGAGAACACAAGGCACCTGTTCGCATCGCCAAATACCACTGTCTCTTTTGGATCGTATCGGCATGGGGATGTTATACGAAAAGAATTTGATGTAAGAGGGAAAAATTATGTGTTTCAAGAGTCTCCGGGGATAACACCGAGAAAAGAGAGTGATCCAACCATATTATACGCTAGCTCAGAATCATTCTTCGACCAACCATTGAGTAGTGATGGTCCGTTGTACATGTATGTAACATATGTGGAATCAGACAGCCAATTCGGTGGCTCCTCCACTTTGAGCCGAGCGTCCACAAGGACCGGTGCATCCAGAGCTATGCTGGACGAAGAGACTACGGACGGGTAAGAATATTACGATTCCCGACTGCTATCAACTAAATGACTGAGTTTGTTTCACGCCACGGGCTATGCGCGTGTTTACGATCATGTAAATTTTGTCAATTCTCTCTTTTCGTCAAACTTCCTGCAGAGATAAACAGGCGCCCAGCCTCCTTTCCACCTCTACATATGTATCATAGTTTGTACCCATTTATTCCACAGAATCGAGTGTTTTCAACTCAAACAACGAAATGTTTCTCTTCTTTCTTTATGCCCCTCTATAGCAGGTAACGAATAACTGAGAGAGCAAGGGAGATGACAGAATTGTGCATTTTCCCATCCTTGAGAATGTTTTCGTGGGTTCCTACCTTGTATCAGTGTTTTTGCGTTTTACCTCATCTCCATGATGATTCAGTAGATGTATTCGTTGTCTTCGCTTTGTAACAGCTGTTCTTCAGAAGAACCGAGAAATAAAAACAAACTGGAGAAATTGCACCGTTCGGAGTGGACATCCATGGAGAAATTGTAGCGTTTACAGATTGAATAATTCAAGTGGCATGTGTGGGTTTGCTTCAAAGCACGTTGACATTATTTAGCAGTCACCATGTTTTGTTGATTCTGATTAATTCATTAATTGCAAAAAAAGGGGGGGGGGTTAAAGACAGGAAACTTTTTGTTCTCCTGAAATGACTTATTATACATTCTGGAACTAATGGGCTGATAACGCGGTATCAATCGGGTATATAAAAATTGCATGTCATGTAGAATGGTTGTAGTTCAGGATGCGGACACTGATGTTGGTGTGGTCTCCAGCTCGGAGAACGCACTACGGACGTGTTTTTTTATTGTTTGTCTCAGCATGGTACCGAAGCCAGGAAAATATAGTTGCTACAGCAATTCGTGCGCGTTTATGACAGTTCTTCTACTGCCCATAACTAACTAATTGAGATAGATCACCTTATTTTTTCACCAAACCAGTTCACTTATTCGCGAGATATTTGGGTTCCAACTCTCGGTTCAATTACTACTGACCTGGAATGCTAGCAAGAGGAACGAATAGCTGTTCACTGATTCAAACTGACCTTTACAATGCCTGATTGAAAATAAACTGGACTGTGAAGGTGAAAAAGCAACCTTAACATTGAATTTCGGGATAACATATCCCATACAGGTTCAATGACGGCGAACTATCCTCCCCTCAAAAGAACTCAGCTGTCGTGTAGTTGCCTCGGGAAACGTCTGGTACTAGAGTGCACAATGACAACATGAGACGGGCTATTGAGAATCACTGAACCCCCCCCCCCCAATGCATCCAACTCAGATCCTCAGATTGTTTTGGGGGACAACATAAATGCTCTGTTCACCCCTTGGAGAAACGGAGATAGAATCGTTCTTCTAATGCCCCAATGCTTTGTTTGGTCTCAATAATGCTTTTTGGGTGAAGGGCAATAAGTGAGCTGTAGAGGAAACTAACACAGTACGAGAGATATAGAGGAACGGATACAGTGTGATGCGACCTCAAATCATTATATATTACGTGTGATCAGAAAGTTGTTTTCAATGCGGAGTAGTGGGAAGAAGATCCATTAGAAACGGTGACAAAGTGGATTGCTCAGAAGCACAAACCAGCATTGTAGGCAATTGTAAAAAACATTACAGATGTTCAAGCAGGTACGATACAGACAATATTTTGTTTAGTTAATCAATGCATTCTGGTTGAATGCTATGCAACCCAATCGGTTGTAACAGATCATATGCAATTGATCGGTTGTTAGTTTTACAGACAATCTTTGACAAGTTTTTGTAAGTTTGTCACCTGGTGTATGCAGAACGCGCTCCAATGCTGGTTATCACCCGATTGGGGGTTGTTTATAGTGTTTCCGGCATCGACTGTTGAAGCATGAAATAAAGTATGGCAACAACGTAAGCACATGCACAATTGACTTGTTATGTGTAACAACTTGTCAGTCATTTTTGGTCGGAATTGACAAACTGGCAGATTGATGACGGAATTTTGCATAAATTTATCACTTTATTTTTGCAAATACGAATTGGTATTGAAGTACTGAGCATGATGAAGCAAACGAGGTATCAGTCTCATGCGTTCAGTTGTGAACATGCAGACAAGAGCTGAGGTTTGCTCATCAAAAGGAAGAGGTTTATTCGGTATCAGAGATCTCGCCTATTCAGGCGAGAAAGAGCGCGATTGACTAAAAGCTACAAAAAATCAAATAAATAATGGTGAAATATTGATCTATCGGATAAAATTAGAAGCGAAAAGGAATTTTCTTGACGAGAAAGAATCACGAAAACCAAATTTTTGGTGGTGACGTTTCGCCTTTTCCAAGATGGTTAACGAGCTCACATCAGAAAAAATCGTTTTAATTGGATGCGGTTTGCAATTGGTCCTAGGGGGTAGAAAGAAAATACTTGCTGCACCCGTGTACGTGGTGATAATTGACACCATCACAAGTGACAGTTAGAAGAGAGTAAACAATTGGTCTAGGGTAGTCATGTGATATCAGAGTATGCTGGCCATTAGACAGCCCATGATTGGGGTGTTTTGTAGTGAAAAGAAAACGTTTTCAGGTATTCGAATTAAACCATTTTTCGGTTCGATCGATTGATAGAATTGAGATTGCTTTGTAGTAATTCAGTAATCCATTTTTCGAATAATTGATCTCTTGAGATTGATGAGATCTTGCTCGACAATTGAGTGAGTGCAAAGTTTATGTGAATAATTTTGAGCTATGAGACATTCACAAGTATTTGTTCAGATTTACTGCATCGTTCAACTACACTTTGCTCTAGTTATCTTTTCGCTTATCTCACATGGATTTCCAAAGACTACCTGCATTTTTTCCTGTAAACCGAATTCTGTTGATCAATACTTGGCTGCTTGCCCTGTCAGTCTCACTGCCCTTGAATAAACGATATTAGTTTAGAAACTATGACACCCAATTTGAAGTATGTTGAATACGAGGTAAGGCATTTCACTGAAACGGTATGATATTCGCTGCGATCAAGTATGTTTTGTTACTGTAGGGTTCAGCGGGCCTCTACTACGTTCTATGAATCAAACCTGGGCTACCGGACACACAACCCTCACGTGATATGTCTGACTTTATTTCACGCCAACTGGTTTGCTCTGCTAAGGTAATAAATCGGTCGTAGGCGCAACATCAGTTCTTTTCACACAACAAAACGTCAAACAAAGCTTTTCCGACTTCGCATGACTATCATTGATTAAGTATATACTCACAACCGTCGTTCAACTTGATATGATACTCACAGAGTCAGAAAGGTTCGTGGTAACCGAATACCAGCCAGCAACACATTCATCTTTCCTGGTGATCTCACACGTTGGAATAGACCTTTCAAAAGAGTGGAGAAGTTTCCATTGACAAATCAATTTGTTTGGTTTCCTTTGACTGTTTTTATTCCAAAAATCTAGATGTAAAACGATGAGCACAAATTATCTAATGACTTCCGTTCAAATTGGTATTACATGGAACGAGCCCTAGACGAAGGACGTGGAGATCACGTGNTTTCATATTACTTTTCAACCTTGTCACCGACATATTTTAGCCACTGGATGGCCGTATCAATAACAGTATGTGAACATCAATTCAGATTTTTACATCATTTATCGCGAGCCCCTTCCAGTCCGCTTTCTCACAAAAATATCCTTCGAGTTACCTTATTCTGTACAGTCAAGAGTACCGCTGTCCAATTATCAAAAAGCTACTCTTTTCTTTCCACTATTTGGGAACTGTTCCATTGAGTATCGACCTCATCGCGGTAACCAAAGGACATTTTCCGAGATCCACAGTTGGGAGGGAAACATACCTGCGGCATTATCGACGCAATCATTGTATATCGGGAAGTGTATCATACCTATCGATGCATGTGAATCGTATGAACTTGGATCATTTTCTCCGGCAGGTTTCTCATTTTCAAAAATCGACTCTTGTCACTCATCAGACTTTGCAATGAGTACATCGTAGAAGACGTCAAGAAAGAATCACATCATAACTAGCTACAATATAAACATACAGACCCCGGAGAAGGGGTAGAGACCAGCAGTGTGTTAACTGAAATCCATATTACTTGGTTTGTTTCCATGCTGATCCAAACGTCATTTGTCCTCAACTGGAATTTGTGCACTGGAGTGCAGTTTACCTAGAACAGTAACCACTTCAAACTATGTATCTTTAATCAACACGATTTTGGGCCTGTACATTCAGCTTTTCCACTTAACTGCGACCAGATCCCTAGAGAGGAAAACCCGGCTTCAGTGAGATCACCACATTTTATGGGGGTCTGCCGACAGATATTTTGGGATTTGCCCACTGATAATTACATTTGCCTTTGTAGTAAAAGGTAGAGTATGATAAATGAGAAAAACTGAAAATGACGAATGATGGCCGAAAGCAGATACAGTTTATCTGTTCAGCGATACTTTCGTTGCACATACAAGTACAAATAAAATACCACTTTTGTTGTATGATAACAGAATAGTTGACCCAGTTAAAAGGATGCGAACAGCTTGAGATTTCCTCCTTCCTTTTCGTTATCCATATGAACACATTGATTGATAGAATCATTGTACGACTGCCGATTTGTTGCAGCGAGGTAATAATCGTATGACCAGCAACGGGAATTAGATAAGAATGAAGCAGCTGGAGCCTACAGAAATGGTAAATATAGACTGGGAGAATAATTTTGCGATGAACTGCAACAGACAAAACGAGGTCATTCGCACTGAAAAGGAATTTTCAGGTAAGGAAGGAGTGACATGAGCTAGGTGGACACAAACGGAGTAACGGTAATAGGGGAACGGTAGTCATGAGATCTTCATTCATAAAACCGAAACATGCCAGTGTAATGAGACATTACAAAGAAAAATCTAACACACATGATCCGCCTATGGGACTGCTCCTCAAAGGTGTCTGAGCGATAATTTGCTTTTCTTCCCATAACACTTGTAATCCTTTTTTTCCTTCATTGCACATTTAGGTTTATCCA